TACTCTGAAAACTCAACAGTGTACATTGTATGCTGAAAAATCAGCAATCATTGATGATTGCTGATATATCAGTGTACATGGAATGATTGCTGATATATCAGCAATCATCAATGTACACGTTTAGCTTTTAGGCTAATATTTCCTTTCAGACGGATATCATCGGAAAGTGGATAGCACTTCCAGATTCCTCGTGAAAAGAGCTTTTAAACGAGCTACTATGTGATAGGGTTCACTACCAAAATGGTTCGCCTCTCAAAAATGCCGGTATGTAAACCAAGTTATGGTAGCGGTCAATTTGAACCCCATCTCATAGTAGCTCGTTTGAAAGCTCTTTTCACGAGGAATCTGGAAATGCTATCCACTTTCCGATGATATCCGTCTGAAAGAAAATATTAGCCTAAAAGCTAAACGTGTACATTGATGATTGCTGATATATCAGCAATCATTCCATGTACACTGATATATCAGCAATCATCAATGATTGCTGATTTTTCAGCATACAATGTACACTGTTGAGTTTTCAGAGTACCTATTGCATCATATTGCTTGCATTAAACTCTGGAAACCCAAGTGTGTATACTTTAATGCAGTACTTCCTGCATATCTGCATGTATGCAGGAGGTCCTGTGTACTTGGCAAGTATGCAGGGGGTAGTGTGCGTGTGCACTTGGTCAAGTGTACACTTAATCTCCTGCATAAATGTATGGGGGTTTTAGTGTGTGTATACACAAGTATACTTGACCAAGTCTACCCACCAATGACCAAGTACCGGGTGAAACTGTGAATACGAAGCAGTGTTGCGGGATTGCATACTCAATATGGCCGCACGCACCATGGCCCCTTACGGGGGTAAAGAGTAGGCAACCGGCAACACTGCTGCGTATTATTCACAGTTACACCCGGTACACCCTACCTCCTGCATACTCGACCAAGTACACACTACCTCCCGCATACTTGCAAAGTACACAGGACCGCTTGCACACATGTAGGTATGCAAGAGACACTGCATTCAAGTACACACTTGGTTGTCCAGAGAAGCTACGTTGTTTGCAACTACATCAAAAAGACAAACGGCAACACCATGGCAACGTTATTTCAATATCTACCGTGAAAAATCGCGTCTCGGGGTTAGACACTGCAAGTTTTCACTACGGCCACGACAAATTTACGAGATTCAAATACACGAACTGTTGCTATTCAAATTCGCGGGACTTAAAATTATTACAAAACTTTGAAATAGCAAAACACTGGGCCTTGCTCGAGGCCCTGCAACGATAAACGATGATTTGTAAGTCGATTTAAAAACAAAATTCATTCCTAAATTTCATAGTTAAATAATACGTAATTGATGAAAAGCGATTAGCGTGAACGTATACAGAAAAGCCGTCCTGCCGTCCTCTTCTTCCCGTCCGTCGCCCCTCTTGCGCGGCATCGGATGTCGACTTCCCGGATAAGAAAAATCGCTGTGGAGTCGTTCCGATTTCACTCAGCGTCCCTCAAGGGCTAGATGATATACGGCACGCCGTTATCAATAAACGTCAAAGTGACATCGGGCCGTCAGTCTCCTATTTCTTACCGCCGCACGACACTCGGGACTCCCAGCTTTGACTGCCTGTCGCCTCGACCCTCTGCTCTACATCCCTGTCTGTCTATGTCTGCCCATCCCAGCATGCATTAAACAAGAATGAAAAGTAACATTGAGGCTTCAGTAACAACAATAACCAGACAGCTGCTCACACGTGCAACAACTCACTCACCTGTCTCAGATCGCCGTGCCCGCGCGGTCGGGGCGCTGACGCGTGGCGTGGCATGGGGTGCGGCTCGTCCAAAGGCTCCGTGGTGCCCCTGGAGGCCGGCGGGGACGGCGCCGCCTCCAACGGTAACGCCCGCGCCCTGCGCACCGGGGGCGGCACCACGGGCGGCGCTCGCGTCCCCGGCAGCGGCCAGTCCCGGGGGCTCAGCCGCAGGCCGTCCGAAACACCGGCAATCCAAGGCAGGGACCCCCCGGAGGAGGACCTTCCCAAGGATCTGCCCGAGCTCCGAGAGATCGTGCGAGCCGGTAGGTGCAGCTCCGCGCGCTCGAGAGAATGGCATAATTCTTTTCAATTTTAAAGGTGTCCTATCCCCCCTTGCACTCACTCACTCAGTCTCCCCCTAATTTTATTGCTCATTTGCAGCGGGCGGCAAGAACATGGCCTTTGAGGTCCCGTTGTCCGACGACAAGCCACGGCCGCTGGCGCCGGGGCCCTTCGAGGACACTGACTCTGGGGCGCGCCGGCCGCCTCGCCGCCTGCAGCGCCTAGAGGACGCCCCGCTGCCGCCTTCGCAACGCCTCACGCACCAGGTCCTCGACGAGCGGCAGGAGGCCGCCGACGAACGCCGCCTGCAGGTGAGCTCGAGCTGGGCCCTCGAGCTGGGCCCTCGAGCTGGGCCCGGGCCTCAGCCTGGGAGGTAGGCACGGGGGCCGCTGGGGTGCCTGCGGGTGGCCCACCCACTCCACCACAGGCGCTCCACCCGTGCCGTCATGAATAAGACATCAAAACATCAGTTTTTTGACATTTTGTTTGCTTTAAACCACTCGGACCAACGAATAGCCCCCACCCCCACCCTCTAGCAGGGAGAGAAGAAAAATATTAACGAAGTGAAATGAAAAAGATTTCACTCACGCGAGCAAGTCGGGGGATTTTCGTATAATGTAGGGTGAACTAGGCAGGCCCCGCCAGGCCCGGCGCAGCAGGCAGCGCGCCGAGCGAGCGTGGGTCCTCGGCAGTGTTGTGTAGGCCATAAACAACAAGGAGCACCTGGCTGTATACGTGCGGCGGGGCGTGGCGGGGCGTGGCGGGGCATGGCGGGGCGTGGCGGGGTGTGCTCTGGAGGTGCCGGCCCTGTCGGCGCGTACGCGTGTTCTTCAAGAGAAGCACAGCCTCACTCCCTTACTTCCCCACTCCCGTGTCTTACCTCCCTGTTCGTTTGCATATGTGTGAGTGTGACCCTGTGCGGAAAGTGTTCAACAGAAGAGCTGTACACTTTCGAGTGCACAACTGGTTGAACCAACTTGCTGTTGAACACTTGCAAATATTAAACTTGCTATATAACTCTTTGTAAGTTTTTGAAGTTTTACATTTACAAAAGGGAATACTAAACGGGAATAAAGGACAATTTTGAATCCAGCGAATATGTGTTCTTGAGCTCATCTCAACTGGCAACATGCAAATTTGTATCTAAAAAGGTACAAGTTATTGCACCTAGCCTA